GATACGTTTGAATGTGAACAAGTGAGAGTGAAATGATTTGCTTTATTTGCAGCTAGATTTTACCTGCCTACACCGTATTGGTCTAGACAAAAGGTTTGATGTGTGTGTTCTTAAAACGGCCAAGAGCAAGTCCCATGGTCCTGTTATAGAGTGCCCTTAACCAAGTTTTGTTTGTTTTAATTTTTCAGGCATTGCCCCAAGTTAGAGCATGTTAGAGCAACTGATTCCATGTGCTTGACAGCTTGCACTGAGAGAAACAAAGTCTTTCTCTCTCATGCACCTGAACAGTAGAGGCAGATGAAGCACACGCCATAGAACGAAAGCATCAGCGCATGACACCACACACCGGCCCAGAATTCCCTGCGCTTCCAGTCCAGATGCCTCTACAGGAGGCGGCTGCCCCCCCTAATCCTTACATCATTTTACATCAAGACCTAGCCCTCGTGACAGACAACTGGGGGGGAAGGGATTGACGTCATTGATGCCATCCTTCTTAATGATTGGCTATTTGCTGGCAAACCAAATTGACATGACTTGTATAGACCCCTAAATAGATAGAAATGTAGATCCCAAATTAAAATGTTTTGGACACAGTTTCTATTTGGGGACCACTATATACAATAGCTATAGTATGTTGGAGTCGTATCCTGGTACTGAATCTTCGTGGCCAACGCATTTTTCCAACCTTGAATCACATTCTTTGAATTGACACGAACAATTGCTGCAAAACCTGCCAAAGAAACGAGTTCCAGCAACACCTGGTACATCACCAAAAACATCTGGGAGGAAATGGTTTGTCAGCATCTCACTGGTGTAAACACCGACATCTCATAGGTCTCTGATAGTGTCTCTGACATCTCGCTGAAAAACATCACCCAAAGCCGCATCTGGTCGCGTCCGCTATGACCCATGCGCCTTTTGGTCGGTCCGGCGGACCGAAGCGGTTCGGATGCGGTGCCGAGTCGGATGCGCGTTCGTCCAGTCTTTTTGAGGCTTCAGCCGAAACAAAGAAAAGAGCCCACCCATGTTTGATCATGTTTGGAGTTCATGCTTTTAATAGAGGTTCAAAAGATTTCACAAGTATAACTTGGATGGACTGGAGCCTTTTCGTTGATGGCTGTGGGTTGACTTGACCCAAAGAGGTACAATGAGTGAAGAGATACGATGTGGATGAACATCCTTAGTGTTGATGGTGTTTGCTGTTGGGGTGAACCATCTGCACTACCCAGTTTTGAACGTTGAAGGGTCTGGATTCATCCAGTCATGTTTCCTTCTTTGGCACCCAATGGTTCAACAAAATGGTTGCAGCCCGAATCTTTGCACCCCAAACCTGACCAGCTTTGCCGGCATGGAGTGGCAAGAATTTGAAGATTGAGGAAGCTCTAATAACATTCCCAGGTGACCAAGGAGTTTTGCTTTGTTTTCAGTAATGTCATCTAGACGACTCAGACGATAACATAAAAAGTGCAGTCTGAGGCATCAGACGTCTAGCTTCCATCCACAAACCAACAAGGTGGTCAGATCTAAAGACTGAAAAGTACACCAAACTTTTGACCCAACATACACTATAGCCAGTATAATCTGGGTAATTAATTTGTACAGATGTTCTACATATTAATACTTTACTTTTCTTTTTTGTGCGGTCTTCTCTTTGATAATTTTGAGACCAATCTGACGGATTTCCCACCACAGGTTGGCGGCCAACACAGCCAGCCAATAAATCAAGAGGCCGACGCCGCCGCTGAGGTTGGCCCATTGCTGTTTGGGGCTTCACCACTCCAGAGGCCTATAGAGGGACGACATGGAATGCAAATGGATGAAGAACTGATCGAACTCTGGAAACTCTTGAGGTGGACTCGGGTCAAATAGGATGACGGATGCATGACGAATGCATGGTGCAAAACGAAGGAAGAAACGGATTCGTCCAGGATCATGGGAATAAAGAAACCTGCCCAATGAGATTTTGAGTGTCGCTTCGTGTCCAGTCTGGGAGTCGGCCCCCCATAAGTTAGAGTCAATCACTTGCGATCCCTTCGCTTTTACCGTTCGTTTGTGGCCACCGCTGGAGCTCGCCTCCGGGACCGTTCGTCCAATGAACTTCGTCGTTGAAGTCCCATTCGGGGCAGCCAGGTTGAGGCCGGCCCAAGCACGCTGCCGATGGTTTCGAGACGCTCACGATCTGCCCTAGAACGGTGCAGTTTTGATCTTTGCTGTTTGAAAACAACCCTCACTATTTGGTCCTATCGACGCTTGCTTCGTGGTACGACTTTGGAGAAGCAGCCTCTCATGGTCAGCTGTAGGGTTTAGAAGTGTTTATAATTAACAGGTACGGTACGTTGAAAAACATCCGTATTGGCCTTGAAGGGGACTCGTAGCATGAAGTCTACTGGAGCAGGTAACGTGTAAGTCACAGCTCCTATACTGTACGTATGAATATACTGTAGCTTTTTCCATTTCTTCAGGGTGCTCCAAAGTGTCCGTCGCATCATAGTGTAAAGGACACAGAGCAGAGCCTAAAAAAGAGAAGTGCAGTGCCTAGATGTACCCAGCGCAACCTGTGCCCTCGGTCCAGATCGAATGGATCGTGGTCCAGTGGTTCCAACTCTCTGGCACGGTGGCAATCGCTTGCTTGACGAACCCAAAGGTCTCGCGCTGAAGAAGTTCAATGTGATCCCTGCCACACATCATCAGCCATCGATCATTGCCAGAGAATGCTATTGTAATGTCATCAGCCCATATCCGAATCAGAGGGGGGAGCCTTTGTTGACAATCGTTTGAACGGTGGAAGCAACGCACACCATGCTGCAAGAAAGTTTATTGATATTTGGTTTGTGATTGCCGTTCCGAAATATCGACAACATCTACTTTGCGATGTGTATAAATCTCTTTGGGTATGTATGCCTTTCAAAATGCTGAGGTGGAAGACATGTATTGTATCCGATTGACCGCGGAGATGTTTAAGTTTAAAGCTGGCACTACTGATTCACACAAAGCCTATCGCCACCCGCCACCCACAGAGAAAGGGCCCCTTGAAGAGAGACCCCAAAGAGCCAATAGAATACGAGATTAATGCAACATTTAAGAATCAGCGAAGCAAGCAACATATGGCACAACAACTTTAAAGTCTAAAGTTCTATTATAGACAATAATACCGAAGCTGGGCTGATGGGCATCCACGTGATTCTTTCACTGGGCCTTTGCCAAGCCCTCGTGGCCTTTGCCAAGCCCCACATCCTTTTCGTGCTGGTGGATGATTTGGGCTGGGCCAATGTCGGCTTCAACCTGGAAGAGAAGAATCCAGAAGTGGTGACTCCAACCTTAGACCACTTGGCAGCCTCTGGTATCCACTTGAAGCGTCATTATGTACACAAGATGTGCACGCCCAGCCGCACCTCAGTCCAATCAGGCCGCTTGCCCGTCCACGTTAATACGGGTCTGGGGGACGTGTGTGATGACAACACTGGGATTCCATACAACATGACGGGCCTGGCTGAGAAGATGAAAATGGCCGGCTACAAGACTCACTTCGCTGGAAAGTGGGATGCTGGGATGGCAACTCCTGCCCATACACCGCATGGGCGAGGCGACTTAGGTTTAAAGCGAAAACGCTAACACAGACAGTTTCAGAGTGACTTAGGGTGTCTTAGGTTGTGGGTGTTGACCCTAGGGTGTCTTGGGGTGTCACCCTTAGGGTGTTGTTTTGTTGAACGTTTGCCAACTTCAATTTTGAACAGTTGACCCAGGTTTCTCTTCTGCACCAATTTATTTGGACTGAGGCTATGATACGAGTCTCAACTATTTCTCCCACAAGAACGACTTCTACAGCCAAGCAAACATGCAAACCTGCTGTGAGCAGGACCAATCCCTCATTGATTTTTGGCGCACAGATCATGGTGCGGCCGATGTGAATGGGACCGGATATTCAGAGTTTCTCTATCAGAAGGAGTTGTTGAGTGCTTTGGGCTTGCTTCAGCTGACGGAGACGGCTTCCTCCATGATGCTCCTGAAAATACCCCACTCCTCTCACAAAAGATCTGGAAATCCTGGGGTGCGAGTGTGAAATTTATCGGAGTTTTGTTGGTTCCCTTTTGCTTTTGGCCACTTGGACATCCTTTTTGACCACTTTGGAGGAGTGGCATCTTCGAGTCAAAAGCAAACCAGAACCATACCCAGGCACTCCACGTGCGACGCGCGTATATATATATATATATACCAAATCATTCGGAGTGGGGTATAGACAATATATGGATAAATATGGTACAGTATGGTAAATAACTATGTCCGTTACCATACCGGTAAAAAAAAACATATATGGACCGGTATGTCATGACAATATAATATGGTACAGCGGCAAAGATCTTCCGGTCCCGACATGCTGTTGGTTCACATGCTTTCGCCAGTCGGGAAGCCTTCATGAAGCCTTATTCCGGGCCAATGAAGCCTTCACCGCCCGAGCAGTACGAAGGTGTCATCGAGCAGCACGACCCGGTGGATCCTTTGTTCCTCTTCTATGCTCCCCATGTGGCTCACTGCCCACTTCAGGTGCCTCAAGAGTACTACGAGAAGTTCGACTTCATGGCTGATGATGAGGGGCTTTGCAGCCAGGAATTGCTTATGACCACCCGAAACCTTTTGATGGACTGAGCAGTCCATCTACGCCTAGCAAGGGTACTCTAGATGTTTTTTGGGTCGGGATGGGGCTTGCACCATAAATGGAGACCTGTGAGAGGGTGGTTTTCAAGCAGAATAGCATGTTCTCCACAGGTGGTGCAAATCCAAGGCAGCCAGCAAACGGTGAAAGAAGAGCATCCCATCGACCCCGCCCACTTGGAGCTCAAGTACCAGTGTCGCCGCCAACATGCCGCGATGATCATGATCATGGATGAGGTGGTGGGAAACATCACCAAAGCTTTGCAGCACAAGAACATGTGGAAGGATACCTTGATGATCTTCTCATCGGTCCCTTGGAACTTATTATCAATTTTACGAAATCCGGTTGGACCGGCTCCCCGCGCCGCCCGGCAGGAGTGGACAATAAAGTAGCAAACAAATCTAGATTGGATGATAAACACATGAATTACGTTTGAATGCAACATATATTGTTTGTTCTATAGCTTGAAGGGTAGCCAACTACGTACATGCACATATCCTTCCGGCGTTGCAAGGGCGGTCCCAGGGCAACACTAGTTCAACAGAAGACAATTCATTGCGGTAAAACTAAACGGAGTTACTTGCATTATTCTGTTGAGGTTGGTAGTCCAACTTATTTTTCTAGTTGGTAGCGGAGCACATAACCCCGGTGTAGGCATCACACAAAGTATTCTGGACCTTAGGAACCATGATGTTCCCCATCACCCATGTCGGTTCAATCGTGCTTATGTTTTATCCTGATCACCTTTGATGGCGGTCAGCACCATGGCACACAACTGGTGCTGAACGTCGCTGAGGGTGAAGGGCGGCAGGTCATCAAGGACTCGAACTTTGAAGAAGCACAGGTCAGTGAGGTGAGGTCAGCGATCACGACAAGATCCGCACCTGTGACAGGTGCAGGCTCAGGCTTTGGCACAATCTCTGAAAAGCTCCCGTAGGAAGAAACATGAAGAAAATGATGAAACTAAGAAGACGGAAAGAAAGACGCTTGGCTTGGACCCAACACAAAGAATGCATCAAGGAGTTCGTCCATCTCATCTCCAAAGAAATCTGCGAAAAGGAGAAGGGAGTGAAAAGTGACCTTCATCGCAATCTCAAACGAGATTCAGGAGATCGTTGCCAGCACTGTGCCAAATCGGAATCCAAGTCCATGGATTGCAGAGTGAGCCGGGCTTGAATCTTGAGCAAATTCATGGAAGGCATCATCTTACTGCAATATGCAACCCTTTTTGTGCCGTGGGGTGTATGCATCCAACTCGCAATCCCAAGCCCCGAGCTGGGGGCCGGAGCTTGAGGCGAATTACCCAACCGTTCATGGTTCAGGGATAATCTTCTTTGGAGCGTGATGTCCAAGTGGGATGGGCGGAGAAAGCTGCACTCTTGAGCGTTCCCACTGGCAACGCAACGGTTCTCGTGCTTCTCCACCCGACTTGAAGTGGACAACTCACTGCAGTAGAACGTGAGCTTACTTGCATTCTTCCAGCTCTTGCCATCGAGATTTACAGCTTTGTTGTGAAAGTGACACTAGCATAGCGTTTGTTCATCCCTTTCCCAGCCATGGCCTTTTCGAAGGCCGCGCGATGTGCGCCAGGGCGCGCATTCCTTGCGCCTGGTCCAGGGCAAGGCATTTTGATGCTTACTTTTCCTATAGCAGAAAGGCGAAGAGTGGAAAGCCCAAGCAGGGGTGGGTAACCCACTCATGCCGCTAATGCGGGTTGACAAGGACGAAGGGATCCAACAGGACAAGGAGGAGGAGATAGAAGACGAGATGCCAGAGACTTCCCTATAGATCGGGTAAGACAAAAATTGTCCTAAAAAGTTAACTCATATTCTTTATCTTTTTTGATTCAAAATGAGGGGTAACTTTTTTTGACGAAAAAGATAACTTGTTAGAGTTATAACTTTTGGAATTAAACTGTTTTCAGAGGTAACTCATTTGAGTTAACTTTTTTGCAACAAATATTTGTAGTGTAGAGATGTTGTTTGTTCCTTGAGTCATTGATCCATGGCTGCTCTGGCCTATGTTTTCATTAGGCTTAGTTGAGTTTTGCAGCAGATAGGATTACTGGTTGGACTGTCTGTAGGATTACTTTTGGTCCTTCATGTTGGACTTGTGTACAGGGTTACTCTGTCAATCACATGTGCTTTCATGTAGGATTACTTGTTTTGCAGGAAAAAAGTGCTTGTTCAGGCAGCCTTTCAAGCTCATAAAGGTATAAGTGGGGGCTCAGCAATGGTGGTGGCAGAGTTGGCCCTGCTGACCATGACTGTGCTGATGGTGCTGATCTAGGCTGGTGAAGGTGCAGGAGGTCATCAAGGACTATGTGGTGAGCCCAAAGGTGCTACTTTCAATGATGGTGCAACCAGAGCCAACAGAAGCAGACTTGCAAAGATGGAGGTGAAAAAAAGCTCTTGTCTGTGCGCTTTAGGTCTTAGGATTACTGTTCTCTCTCTCTCTCTCTCTCTCTTTCTCTCCTTCCCTCTGTGTGCGTTAGGAGTTTTTCTGTGTTTAGGATTACTGCTTTCTTTTCAAGCCTTAGGATTACTTGTGCGCTTGGGCCTTCAGCTTCTGCTCTTGTACCTAGGGTTATTATCTGTGCAAACTCAATGATTGAAAGGTGTTGATCTTCAGGTGTTTTTCCTCAAGTGCAGAAGGCATCAGTGCCATGAAGAGACTCACCCCTGATCCAGCAGTAGGGGTGACAGACCTGATGGGGCCTTTGCGCAAGATGTGTGAGCAGGCAGGAACCTGGGACTTGCTGAGGTTGCTGGGAGGCATGACATGGAAGTCTACAATAGATGCAGAATGGCTGGGGCAAGCGCATCTGTCCTCTCTTTTTGTGGACCTCTTCAAGGTCCACAAGAATGGCGTCTTGTCTTCAAACAAGACAAAATTGGCACTACAGAAGATCCAGGGCACTGTGCACCGCATGAACTTCTCCAAAAGGGATGATCAAACATGGCTGGATTTGTGCGATGAGCAATTGAGAATTTGTGCATCCCAGTACAGGGAATTGAAAAACTACAATGTAAAATACCAGAGGGCAATGAAGAAAGCCAGCAATGAGGAGAAAGAGTATGTGGACAGGGTCCTGGACATGCTGGACTTCAACCAGGTGGTGGCAGAAGAGAAGACAGGTGATGTAGAAGAGAAGCCATGTGACAAACCAGCACCTGTGAAGGTTCCTGCCTTGCAAGATGAAGATCTTCCTGGCCTGGTCATCTTCCAGAACATCTTGCAGAAGGCCAGCAGTGACCCTCATTCACCTGAACCTGTCAGGGCCAAGCAAACCAAAGTGGGCTCGAAGAGCCAGGAGGTCAACAAGAAAAAGCAGACTGCTATGGTTCCTGACTTGGATGCTCTGCGCTTGAATGCAAATGAACAAGATGAGTTGCTGGCATGGATGCTGGCTGATGTTGAAGAGGTCAAGAGGCCCAGGAGGCTTGCTGCCAAAAAGAAGCCTTCCACCAAAAAGACTGGCGCCAAAGTTTCACAGGCCCCAAAGACCAAAGCAAAGAAGTTCAGTGTGTGTGGTCGCAAGAACATTTTTAGACATAGGGCCACACCAAGTGCTTATCATAAGGCCAGAAACCTGGCATTGAAGCAAGGCAAGACTGCAAATGCAGTCAAATCTGCTGCCAGGGCTGCTGCCAGAAAGGTGGCTGAGGCCATAGATGCAGGAGACTTGGTAGGTTGAGCTGCAAACTTGTGTGCAAAACAAGGGCCTGGGGGGGTGTAGGGTTATAGTTCAACATCACACCTTATAGGATTATTGTTGGTATGGTAGGATTGTTGCAGTTTTTGCTGCCCAATTTCCAGAGTGTGGTAGGATTATTCTGATGGTGCATTTATAGTGTGGTAGGATTATACCTTGTAGGATTCTTGCTGGTGACAAGTTTGCTGTCCAGCTCCAAACAAAGTAGTAGGATTATTCTGCTGGTGTGGATGTGGTAGGATTATTGCTGGTGGCAGTTTTGTTGGCCAGGTAGGATTACTTTTTGATTTGCAAGATGGTGTTCTTGGCAGGCACCTGGCACTGTCTCTTGTGATGACTCTTTCTTGGCCCAAATGCCAGGGTTTGGTCAACATGCAAAGAGTGTATGTTTCCAATTTGCCATGGGATTGGAGCTGGCACCAAATAGCTCAAGCTGTCCACGATAGCGCTGGCATTTGGCCAAGGTTTGTGAAGAAGCACGATAGAAAGCACCAGTCTCAGGATGTATGCAGCTGCTATCTACATCTAGGAGCTGAAGTTGACATTCAGCAAATGGTGCAGCAGCTGCAGGGGTGCTACTTCAGTCACAAGAGGTGCTATGCTGAGGATTGCGCAGAGCTGCCTACCTCAAAGCCTGGTGCAATGAGGAAGTCTTATCGAAAGACTTTAAATTCTCAGTGCCAGTGGCATTACATGGAGATGGAGTGTCCACTGTGGGCATAGGGAAGTGCTGGGGAAAACTCATGGAATGCTACACTTGGCATGGCTGCTTGTCCAAAGGTGGTACAAAAACCACTCACATTCTTATTTGGACAGCCTACCAAAAGTTCTTCCAGCCTGGTGATGGTGGCACACTGGATTCTGTCTTTAGAATTATTGCCTGGAGCTTCAAATCTTTGTTCGATGGCGGATGGCCATCAAAAAAACTGGAAGAATGGGAAGTGCCTCTGTGTCAGTTTCAGAAGTTTTTTGTTTCTTTGGATTTGTGTTTGGCTTGTAGGATTATTTGTTTCATCCATCCATAGGATTATATATTTGTGCCATCTTCTAGGCTTGTAGGATTACTTGTGTTTCAATCAAGGTTTTATGGCCCACAGCATCTCAGGTATTCTCCTGATTCCATCCCAGGTCAGCAAGCAGGCTTGCCATTGGCAGCTGGGTACTCTGCCACATTGATAGCTTTGGCAGGAGATTTGGAATACTTTAATCACTCCCGACGCCTTCCACGATGGAGCTCAAACACCTCTTGTTGCCCTCATTGCAGGGCTACAAAGCAAGGTGCTTACTCTTGGACCGACTTCAAAAGCTCAGCTCAATGGCATGATGTCATTTGGACTCCTCAGAGTTGGCACTTGTGGGACCAGCGCTCTCCATGCAATGCAGGGTGTTTAAGGAGATACCTGGTCTGTCAGGGCTCAATGCAGCACTCGACTACATGCACATCAAGCACCTGGGCACAGATCTGTATTGTCTCCCAGCAGTACTGTACTATTTGACCCACATATGGCTGCGTGGATCACCTGCTGAAAACGCTGTCCACATTTGGAAGCAAGTTCAAGAAGCCTATAAGGTTCTTGGGGTCAGTGACCGCTTCTATGACCTCAGCAAGATCAATATGTTTGTCAAAAAGAACACTTGCAAGCTCAAGGGCAAGGCAGCCCAGGTCAAAGGCCTGGTGTTGCCTTTGGCCCATGTGTGGGAAGCACATTACAACCCACATTGCTTGGTCCATCGCAAAATCAGAGCAATGCTCATTGCAAATGCTACCATGGAGTTGCTCATGACAAAGAACAAGAAGCTGACAGCATTTCCAAGTGCTGATGCCTTGAAGATGAGGAACCAGTGCCATGTGATGGCACGCCTTATGTGGGACCTCTCTCAGCACTTTGCAGCTGAAGAAGGCCTTCCACATATGTTCATATGCACCTCCAAGCTGCACATGCTGGTGCTCATTTGTGAATATACCCAGGCTGTACCCCCAAGACTCTTTTGGTGCTACAGTGCTGAAGACTTCATGGGGGTCATCCGCAAAATTTGCAGGAATTGTGCCAAAGGCACTCCCCCACTTCAGGGTGGACAGAAAGCTTTGGAGCATTGGCGAATGCTCTTTGCTCTGCAGCTAGAACAGACCTGACAAAAAGAACAGCTGACATGCATGCATGAAATTTGGTGCAGTGCATAGGATTACTCTGTTAGATGTGCATAGGATTACTGTTCCACATTCATAGGATTACTGTGGTAAACCTCAGTTTTGTTGAACAGCAAGCGCATGATGTCAACAACAAAGCTTTTACTCGCACTTGTTTCTTCAAGCTTTTGCTGCCAAGTTCCAAATTTTAAATACTTGCAGAATCTTCCCTTTGCTTGAAAAACCATCACAATTAAACATTGAAAAATAGACATTAACACACTCAAAAGTCAAACTTTCAATTTCCTACCTCTCCAACAGTTATCTAAAAAGTTAACTTTTTTAACTGTTTAAGACAATTCTTTTTTATCAAAAAGACAAAAATATGAGTTAACTTTTTAGGATTTTTTTGTCTTACCCGATATAGGGTTGCAAGCGCTCAGAGTATGGATCTGGCTTTCGGTGGCTGAGATGGAGCCCAGTGGGCGAATCACAGCTGGCGTTGCTGGAGAGATTTTCAAGGCCTAGCTCCGCAAGACCGGGCAATGTAACAAATCATATACTAAAAGAAAAAGCTTCAGGAGACAGCGAATGACTTTCTTCAAGGGGCAGCCTTCATGGTTGTGAACAGACTCCCCAATATGATAGCCAATTTTTTGTAGCAAGAGCGCCTACACTCGCGATGGGCATTGCAGCACTGGGCCCATTGCTGGCTGAAACGCAGAGTATAGCATTGGACCTTTGCGCTTCACAGAAGCTTTACCGATGTGGGCCTTTTTGCACTCCGGCTTTGCGGCGCATCGTGATTCGAAACCGCAGAACTTTCTGCACAGTGATGTGCGGTGCAGAACCTGGAAGATGAAATTGATTGACTTTGACTCTACTTAAGACTTGCACCAGGAGTGCCAACACATGCGGGGCAGCATTGATTTTCTGACATCATCAGTTCGCATTTAGTCCACGAGGCTGGTTTGAAAGCAGCAATGGTCATCGACAATTGGAGGTCAAAGACAGACACCGAATGGCTCTGGCAGCCCGGTGTACCAATGCAGATGTCTGACATGCAGACTGAACATGGCTTTGCCGCGTGACGAGACTTGGGAGTTTGTTGCGAAAATCCTGTGCGAATTGCCTAATTTGTGACTAGTGACCGTGTTCGCAAAGGTTCATGGCGCCTTTGGGTTGCATTGCGTTGTTATGCTTTGATCCTTCGTTTTGACAAAATTCGGATCGGCTGCGGCTGCGTCCGAAAATTGGCATATCTCGTGCAACGGCGCAAAACTATAGTTTGACCTGCCGGTTCAAAAGTTCGGGCCCCAAGTCTCCTCCGAAAGATTGCCTATGGCTTTGTTGGGGCACTGATATAAGCAATCCGTTTCCGTGTCCCATCCTTTCGCAGTTTGCTTGAAGCCTGCAAGAGCCCGCCTACAGCAATGGATGATTTGCTTAAACAATGAGCACGGACGTTGACAATTCACAACGTGCTGCGTAGATAAATCATTTTGTGGGAAAATTGGTTTGGGCTCAAATTGTTGACGTCGCATTCTTGCAGTTTAGGTTCAATACGTATGGGCGCCCAATGTTGGGAAGTGATTGACGTGATCCTTGTTTCATCGCCTATGGAAACAACGTTGTGACGCGAACTTCTACTTGTAGACCAGGCCTTATTGTTTGCAGCCCCATGAAGAAAACAAACTCCGTGGCCTATGTAGGTTGAGTTTGTGGCGCCACCAGCCATGATTGTCATTGCTTGTCTTTGTGAGCATGATGTTGATAAAGTGCGGCGAATGTGCCCGCAGTGTGCTGGCCTCGAGTGCTAGGAGTGCCTAGTTGGTTCTCGTGTGCCTGTGTCTCGGTTTGTAGTGGTACTGATTTTGCCCCGCCCGCCCGCCCTTGGACAGAATGGGTAGGGGGTTGACTTTCGGTTGCCCCGGCACTGAAACACAGTCTGTGCAAAGCACCAGGGCTTGTCTAGAATTCTGCTGTGCCTATGGTTCAGCCCCAACAGTAACAGTCCCGCGACTAAAAAAAGAAGGGATGGCGCGCAGCGTGTGTTGCTGTTTTGCAGACCTTCAGGTTTCCATGCCCTTGCTTGTTGGCGTCTTCATGGGTTGTAACAATAAAGGCCATAAAGCTGCAAAAAGATTTAGGTGTCCCAAAAGGGCGCAATATGGAAAAGGTTGTATCATTTTCCAATGTGCTGGAAAGATATATTGATATGCAAGTGGTTTCAAGAACTGGGTTTACCTTTACCTTTAAGAACTTTTTCTTGCGTATTTTATATGGGTGACATGCTTGCATCGCCCATCGGCGAAAGTATATCGATCCAACGCAAGGGCACCCAGTCACATAGAGGTCGAGGTCAAAAAGGTCAAGGCATCGCGTGGTCAATAACCTAAACACATTTGAACTGGACATTGGTTTTCCCAACAATCACCACATTGGTTGGGAACCATTGGTGTAAACCTCCATCCACAGCTCCCCAAGGACAACGGGGGGCCCCGTACGCTTGGCAGAGAATGCCGCGAACAACTGGCCCCTGCGGGGAGGGAAGTACAGCAACTTCGAGGGTGGCTTTGAATGAATTGGTGCACAATAGGGTTCCTGCAGTTGGAAAGGACCAACGTTGAAGTGTTTGATTACAACCCTGAACCATTTTGATGTTCCCGGCCTCCAAAGCAAATAGCCAACAATCATAATTTTCATTTTCATTCCAGCACTGGAGGTTTTTGTGTTGAATATACACATTTCCCAAGACGTGCTTTGGCACCGGTCGAATGTTTTTTTTTCCCATTTGTTGGAGTGTTACGCGGTCTTGCTTGACATCTTTCAATCCTTCAACACTGCCAATGTTCATAAATTGTCATGTTTTTTTTAAAGACTTTTGTCGGACATTTTCCACCGCTCCTTACACCAGGCGGTGTGCGAGTGCCCGCCTTTGTCTCGGGCGGCTTTGTTCCAGCAAACTTGAGGGGAAGCAGCAACTCTGGGATCATTCACATTGCGGATTGGTATGCAACCCTCTGTCATTTGGCAGGCGCACTTGGCAGGGCCACGGCTGGTTCTGAAGGTACATTCTTCGGACACGTGAGAACTCAACCCAATGACCCAATGGTTAAGTTTTGTAAAGATCCACGCCAATGAAAGGTTTGTTTTCCATCATCGAGGGACCACTAGTTTCAGGTATAGTTTGTACTTGATTACAAAACTTTATCAATTTTTATCACCTCATCCATAATCTTTGCTGAAAACTAGAAAACTCTCATGGATGTCCAGTCTTCTGGACATGTCCTGGACCCTGTCGTCGATCCGAGCTCGGTTTTACGAGATCGGCTCGTGCGACTTACCGGCTCGTGTGGTCGGTGGAAGGTGATCATGCGCCCCACATGTGACGACCAGCCGATCCCCCACCGGCAGGTGTGGATCCCCAGGACCAGCGTGCGGCCGCGGGAGCTTTGCCACCCATCGACTCGCTCAACATGTGGCCCTTTCTGGTCGAGTCCAAAGCGTCGCCTCGGGAGGCATCCGAGAATTCATTGGACTCAGAAAAGCATTTGTTATCCTTGAACACGTGAAGGAAGGAACCGGGGACGTTCCAACATTCCTGGTCGTTTCATGCTGTTATATGCTGTTATGTTATCCACACAAATCGCGTTTGGGGGCTGCGAAGCGAAGCATCCTCAACATGAAACGCCACTTGGGGGCTAAGAGTTTTCCACGGGCGTAGAACTTGTGCGCTGAAAACATTGGATGCAATTGAAAACACAAACATCGAGGTAGTCTTAGACACAGATCGTTTGACGGCCACCCCACCTTCTCATGTATTTGAGCAGAGTTTTTGAAGAGATCATGTTGCAAGACATTTGTAGGTGAGTGGTGTCATCGGGTGTCATTTCGCCCTGAAGTGTTCCTTTGAATGATTTTAAAAAATGTGACGAGTCATGAAGTTTTATTTGGAATCGCACCGGGGCACTGTTGATCTCCTGGACGCAGGTGATCCCCTTGGGCGAGAACGCGCTGATTTGGGGCCGATGGAAGTTGTTGACTTCCTCAGAAGCACCCAGCTTTTGGCAAGGTCCCAGATTTCCGAACAGTACTTTGGATTGACTCTGGAAAATATACGAAAGTATCTGTCACCTCCCAAGGCATATAGACTAAGATATAGAGGAGAGTATAGAGGAGATCTTAAGTACATGAAATTGCAATAAATTGCATATTATAGATTGGATTCTTTTGCTGGGCACATCTTAAGAGTCATTTGGAGGTAGGATGTGTGTTGACATGTGCCAAGGCACTTCGAGAGAAGTCACTGAGGCAGCTTGCCACGATGGTTGTTTGTTTGATCTGGAGGATGACCCAACCGAACAAAAGAACTTGTATCAGCAAGAATCTCAAATTGTGGCCAGATTGCTAGCTCGACTGAAGCTCGAGCGTGCAAGCTTCTTTGAGAACCGCGATTCCTTCCCCAAGACGAGTTGCGAGGGCCCCGAGGGCCAGCACTGCGCGTGTTGGCTGGCGCGCCACCGCTATGGAGGCTTCTTAGGACCATACGCCCTTTTGGATCAGCCACTGAGCACTGTCGTCGTTTGAAAAGAAGAGCTTCGCTTTGTTTTGAGACCAACCCGGTTTGAAGGAAACTTGCACTTAGACATCTATATATATTTCCCTTTCGATAGGGCTGTCGAACTGAGACACCAAACTTCAAATGATTGATTCAGGAACTCTGCTGGAGATCATGAGACCTGAATATAGCAACCATGGTCGAAACATGTCCGCTCAATGGATTTCCAGACTTCGACCAGTTAGTTCAGGCTTCTACTATTGGATTCCGGTGTGTGTGTGTTCCGAGGGCCCGATCGGGTCACGTCGCCCGGGTTCGCTCCGATCGGCCGGGTCGCTCAACGAAGCCGCAGGTGCTGCGGCCCCCGGACGTGGACTGTGACGACCGTGAGGAGTGGTCCACCTTCCGGACGGCTGCGCAGCGACATGCCCAGCACGGGATCCTGCGGGCGGTGGGGTCGGTCCCACATGGAGCAACACTGGGAGCCAACGGCTCGTGCATGGGCTCAAAATGGAGTGAAGCCTAAGGGAGAAATGTGGCCTCCACATCCTGAGTTGGGATTGTGTTGGTTGAAGAGATTTGTTCTTCCAATACATGGAGTGTCCAAGAGTCCGGCACTTAGCACGAGAGATCTCTCTATTTTGTGGACAGCTTTGTTCAAAAGGTTGAACAAAATGGTAAAGAGCCCCATGTCAAGCTCCATGCTGAAGCAAGCGCCAGTGCCCACTGAGGCTCGGCTGGCCATCACAGAATGCAGAGCTGGAGGCAACCAGATCTCATAGGTCCAGCTCCCGCCTCCATTTTGGTGTAAATCCTGCCCAAGCTGGTAACATAATCGAAGAACCATTAGTGTGTGCTTGCTACTGTCCATTTGTCATGTTTGCCCCGGTTCCCTTTGTTGATGTTTATTCATGTTCTGATCATTCTTATGCTGCGAAGACTTTTGTCTTCGGGCCCATTGGGCGAAGACATCATGCAGCAAAGTCGGGCGATCAGTGAAATTGCACAGACCGTAGATACCACTAGCCCCACTAGCTTTGCTTAGGGTGATTGATTTCCTCATAGGGCTCCACATGGGTGATCCCCTTTTGGACTTTTAACATTATGTTGTTTTTCCTGGTTTCTCAAGCAAATCCAAGCTAGTCACTATAGGCCATCGACAAAACTTGGTAGGCGATGTCGCGGGCATTGGTGCGCAAATGGCGCTGGGTGGTTTGCAAGGAGGAGCGGCTGATAAGCACTGTTTGACTCGGAGTAGTTTTTGGTTCACCGGACCACAAAGCACCGCATCATTGAATCTCATTGAACATGATAGACTCAATGATAGAACAACTTGAAACAACTGCCATGATGACCTTTTTTGTGAGGTCCAGCGACATAGTAGATCGAAAGAGCTGGAGGAGGTTTATATACAGTGCTTAGCCTGGTGAGCCCTCGCCTTTTCATGCCTTTTCAAGTCATTTTAGGCATTGATTCAGATCCGTTAAGAACCCAACTGGTATGTTTTGAGGGGCACACATCTCGGAAAATCACCCATGTCATGGAAGATTTGATTCATGTCAAAACCTAGCCTCGACATCTAAGTGACGAACACATCATATTATCATATTTGAATATATTTGAATATATATATTTGAATCATATACCGCTTTATGGATATGTGATGTCCTGTAGACAACCGTGTGAAGTCTTCACAGTGAAGATGGGTGCATAGTTCCCAGATGGTGAAGGAAGAAGTCTCACACCGATTGCCTCATGATCCTGGAGACACCTAGATCCCAGTCGCATTCCCGAGCAACACTCAGGACTGTCAGACGACCAGTCATTTGTCTTGGTTCTTTGTGGAGGACATTGCTTCGCAACGTGACACGGACGTCCGAACACGAGGGATGAGGGCTGCACATGGATGGCTTGTGGGACTTGGTTTGTCAGCTTGTATGTGGTTTTCTTTCATGCGTTGTCCTTTGACCGATCGACAATTGGCACATACGGTTCCACAACAAGTTCAATTGGAAAAACAAAAGTCCTTTTGCCTCTACAGCTGACTTGGATCCCATGTCGTTTCAAAATCAATCCCCCCCAAAAAGCACCAATCTAAGGCTCAGAGCCTCTCCGCCGGCTCTCCACCGCCCCAACTGGCGCATCTTCACATCGGTCCGAGCTCCGTCAGGACTGGGGAGCTCGGTGCGTGGAGAGTGTGAACTTCGACCGCTACCTGGTCACGCACTACTTCAGGAGACGAAGACCGAGCCGAAAGCCGGACGAAGCCGAGGGCGGAGGACGTTCCCGAGACGGAAGAACCGAAAGCCGAAAGCCGGACGAGACGTTTGTCGCGTAAGACTGGCGAAAGGTGGGCGGACGAGACGAGAGGTGGGTCCTTTCGTAGGCCAAATGGCCAGCAGCAGTGAACGTTTCAAGAGTTGAATGTCCAAAAGGGTCAGGAAACATTTGCAGGAAATCTCTAGAAAGAGTATAGTATAGTAATGAATGTTAATGATAGACACTTTGGGGGTATTTGTGTCGATAGAGGCAGTTCCAAGAAGGTGCAAAAGGGAACAACACTATGCGCTTGTAGTTACTCCGGTCTTGATTCACATTGATTGGACATTAAACACACTGGTATGCGACATTATGCAACTGTATTTCATTGTATGTTGCTACCTTTGCAATCCCATCAAGTTACTGGCGCATCCAGCTGAAACAAAAAAATTAAACACACGGAAGTGGAAGAGTGCCATCCCACTTTCATATATACGTCCATGATTATTTCACATAATAGTGTTTATGAGAGTAAGTAAGTGTTCTGATGTGGTTCATCCAAGGAGGATTTTGAGTAAGAACTAGAGTCATGTGAAGCACAAGCTGATGTCCAGGAACCTGACCTCTCATGCCAAAAGGAGCAACCACAGCAAATGAACAAGCAAGCCAGCAAGCCCAACCAAACAAAATGCTAACCAACAGACAAGCAATAACATCAACACCGACTGCCAGAACAACAACAAGAAGCTCTCATCAACAGCAGCAGCAGCAGCAGCATCCCTGCTTCAACTCACTAACGTGAAGGTGAAAAGCTCCCTGTTTGCAGAGCAAAAGAGCCTTCTTTTCAGTGCCACATGCCCATTCACTTCGATGTGTTTAGCAAACACGTACCAAAAGGAATCCGATGTCGTTCAGCCCGGGCATCTCCGGGCATCTCCGGACGAGGAATCGAGGCCTCGTCTACACCCAGAGACTTCCATCCGACTACTGCCACTTTGGCGCCTTGGAACGGAGAGAAGGGAGTGGGCGGAGGTGGGCGGTGCTCACGGGAAGAAACACGAAGCTCATAGAAGTCCGTGCAGCTGCAATAAGCATTCTGTGACCAGACGCGCCAAAGTCGTCAAAAGTCCAGTTGCAGATGGTTGACTGAACCTTTTAAAGGAGTCTGAACGCATTTCTGGTCCATCCACAGTGATTTTGCGTCCATGTCACTGGTCTTCAGGTCCAGGCTTGCTAGAAAGGCCCATCATCGACTCCTTGACTCCTCATGACGGGCACACACGATGCGGGTGCCCCGGTGCGACGTTGGACGGTCAAGGTTTCATTACGGCCTTGGTGGTGATGGCGCACTTCGAGTTTCCCAACTCCGTTGTGGGGTGACTCAGTGGATCCCAGTGGGAAGATCGGATGAGGGCGGGCATGGGCGGCTTGACTAGGCCATGACTATAGTTCCGTCCCAACCAAAATCCCCTCAAAAGACGTGTGACACGGCCAGCCATCCTTGGGCCCTTTGCCACACCTCAACCGCTTCCGTTCAACACACCGTTCGACTCACCGTTCGACCTTTTTCGGGCACCTGGGACCCGTTGGCACAGCTTGCTGAGCGACCGAAAGACATAACTCTGCGAAGACCAGACCGAGTTGGGAGCAAGCAGGACCACCTCGAACCAAAGCTTTACGCTAAGATTCAACCCCATGGTGTGATGCTGCTTCGTTCTTTTTACATTGTTTGTTGGTTTGCCTTGTTTGTGGAGAGTATTTTTGACGATTATTTTTGGGGTTGGTTTTGGCAACAACAAGTGTCGCCTCTTTTTTTGCTTTCTGCACCATGATGTGTTGCCCAAGCTGGTTTGCAGTGCTACGCAGTGCTTGGAGGGGTCCTTCTTGCATCCCTTTGGTCGGTTTGGGCAGCAGCAGTCACTTCCAATTTGTGTGAGATATCGATGATGCCGCGAGTTACCTTGGAGAAGGTGAGATTGGATTTGGTTGGATCTGTGTTTGCTTGCCCGAGGCACAAGCAGGTCGATTGCTCTTCTTGGCCTTTGTGCTCTTGGGTGACTTCTTTGTCTTTGATTGGCCACTTAGCGTCATAGATATCCCACCAGACCAGCAAGGTAAATGTCAATCAATATCAACGCGTTTACTTTCTATATTGAGGACTCAGACTCCCTCCCACTCTTGGCCACTCGACGCCATCCACTAGCAGGTGCCAAACAAATGTAGTGGGACAGCCCCCAGCTTCTTCTGTACCTGACTTTTTGAAGGTTCCTTGTCGTGACCCTGTTGTTCGGCTTGTTCGTGACCGAACCAACCAGGTGATCAAGTTCGGTCACTTTGAAGAACCAGCCCGACATGTTGGTGTTGTTTCATGCGATTCAGGCTGTATTCATCTAGCTGGCCAGTGGACTCGCTGCTGATCATGCTCAATGTTTACATGGCGTGGCACCCCGGCTACGGTTTTGGGAAAACACGGTGTGATTGATCGAGTGCGGA